TTTAATCGTCTCAGACTATTTAAAAAAATAATAGATGTTTTTATCTAATCTTATAGCATTTCTTTGTTTAATTTTTTTGCTTCCAAGATTGATATTTGTTTATTTATATTATTTGTTCAAGTTATTTCATTTTATATATATATATATATATATATTACTTTTAAGTGATTATTTTATGCAGAATTTTGTAACTTATGTATTTAATCTGCGTTTATTTTTTTAAAATAAAGTATTAAATGTTAAAAAAAATAAAAAACAAAATACTAGGTTTCCTTGAAACTCCAATACACATGCATGCATGTATCCACCGACGTTGACACGCTTTCTATTTTTAATTTTACCCAAAATATCAAATTTAAACCTCACACTTGAAACAAATTCGTCACTCCTCTCCCGAAAATAATCCATAATATTTCTATCAAGTTTCCTTCTAATTTGTCTCTCTATCTCATTGTTCTTCCTCCGTTTCCTCCTGCCGGAGCCATCGTCGGAGTCTTCATATTCCATCGTTTAAGACATCAATTCATATCTCGTCTTTTTTTTTCCTTCTTCAAATTAAAAAAAAAAAATGGTGGAGTTACGAGCTGATCAACTGAAGCAGTTGAAGGACATTTTCGCGAGGTTCGACATGGATTCCGACGGCAGCCTCACCGTCCTCGAGCTTGCGGCACTTCTCCGGTCTTTGGGGCTGAAACTGTCGGGTGATCAGATCCATGTCCTGTTATCCAACATGGATTCCAACGGCAACGGTGCGGTGGAATTCGACGAGCTAGTGAACGCTATATTGCCCACGTTGAAAGAAGAGATACTGGTGAACTAAGAAGAGCTCATGGAGGTTTTCCGGTTGTTCGACCGCGACGGTAATGGGATCATCACGGCGGCAGAGCTTGCGGGTTGCATGGCCAAAATGGGTCATCCGTTGAAGTATAAGGAGCTGATCGAGATGATGAGAGAAGCGGATTCCGACGGGGATGGTGTTATTAGTTTCAGTGAATTTTCTTCTGTAATGGCGAAGTCGGCCTTGGATTTTCTAGGCGTTTCTTTAGCGACATAGTAACCGAGAATATTTGTGTTAGGTTATTTGTCCCTTTATTCTCTGTGTAATTAAACATCATCTTGTAACTACGGGTGTTGTGTGAATAATTTCTTTCTTTTTCTTTTTATCAAATAATAAGATTCATTAGAACAGGAAAATGAGATTTGGGATCCCATGAAATGCCTAAAGTATCTGCTTGGTTTTTAGTTTTTCGTATAATTATGTTCCATAATAATTTGATGTATTCGATGATAATATAATCACATCTCAATTTTAATATATTTTGCAAAATATAAATCTAATATATTTATATTCATCTTATACTTACAAATCCATTATACAATCTAAATTTTGTCCTCCTAGAATTAATACCAAGGTCCAAGTAAAAACTTGTTTGAAAGCTAAAGCCTTAAAATAATTACATTTTGAGAGTGTTGACAGTATTTTCAACCATTGAAATACTGTCTTTTTTATTAATATTGCCGACCAAAATAAACAGCTAAAGATTATGAATAATATTATATATAGCTAGCTGTGTAATGCTACTTGAATATAAATTTTATTGATTTTTTAAAATATAAAAAAAATTCACCATCCAAAATAATAATTATTTTTATTATAAATATTTATTGAAAAATAAACAGATAATCATAAAATTCATTTTATTTTCATTATAATTAATGAAAGAATTATGTGAGCAATCACGACCCAAGCTTCATGATTAAATATACATGATTCCTGATATGATCACAAAAGGAGTGGATATTATGTGAGCCCCAATTCTTATGTTTTCGACTCTGCGTTCTATGGCTAATGGAGACGATGCCAGCCCACTCATGCAAAACCCAAAAGGTATCCAAAGTCAAACCGATTTGACTTTTAGTTATCCATTTAAAGGATTATATTTGATTGATTTTAAATATTTAAAATTATCTTTAATGTTAAATAGATAACAATACAAATATAGATTTTTTATTCAAATATCATTTAAAAAACAGATTTTTAATTAATATCTTTTTTAGATTAACTCCCAAATAGCATCTTTTTAATAAAGATACGTCAAATCGTAAGTGCTTTTCAAATGTCGCTTATTACGGATGATGGATAGAAGACTATCAGAACTTTTAAAAGTTTGACCATAAGGAAAGAAAGAAAAAAAGAGTAAGAAATATATGAATTTTGTCCAGAAAAGAATAAAGATACGATGCATGGCGAAGCGAAGGCATGACCATGAACACGAGTTGGGTCAGGTCAAACAACAACAGGGGAAAGCTCACGTGAGGTGCTTAATATATAGCTAAAAAAATGATATCAGTTTTATTATTAGTTTAAAAAAAAGTGGTACTGATTTTATTATTATTGTGTATAATAAAATTAGTAAAAATTATCGAAAATATCATTATTTTTATCGGTTTTGTTATTATTTGGTATTTTATCGGGTAAAAATATATCGATTTTATTATTGTTGTGCATAACAAAATCGGTAAAAATTACCGAAAATACCATTATTTTAACAAAACATGTAAAACGCTACTAGTTTTTTTATTTTTTTACCAGTTTTGTTATTGTTGAACATTTTACCGGAAATGTTAAAAAATATTGATATTTTAGGTAGAAATAATAATATTTTAAGTAATTTTTATCGATTTTATTAACCCAACAATAACAAAACCGGTAAAAATAAACTTTTTTAATGATAAAATTAGTAAACACAAATTATACAATTTTTTAAAAAAAATCTTTATTATAAAAATCAAATACAATAAAATAATATTATTTATTAACAAAATAATAATATTATTTTTAAAATATTAGAATAATTTATTTAATATTATTTATATCAATATTACTATTAAAATATTATATCTATAATTTTATAAATAAAAAATTATGATTATTATATTTTATTAAAATAAAATTATTATAAATTATATTTATTATAATAAGAATAATATATCATTAATTATATTATAACGAGAGAATAGTGAAATATATGTGTCGATACATTTTCAAAAAGTATCGACACATATGTTACATCGAAACCGATAATTATAATATAATAGGTAAATTTATAATATAGCCGATATAAATATACCGATTTTATGAGAGAATAGGTCAACATAACGTATCAACACAAATTTAAAAAGTGTTGATACATTTTATCCAGAATGAATGCCAAACAAGGTGCACATAAAGTGTCGATACATTTATTAAAAGTATCGATCCCAAAAACATCGAAACCGATAATTACAATGTAATAGGTAAATTTACAATGTACTTTGTATAAATATACCGGTTTTATGAGAAAATATGTCTACATAATGTATCGACACATTTTAAGTTTGTGTCGATACTTTTTTCCAGAATGAATGCAACGAGGTGCACGCATAAAGTATCAATACATTTAAAATTGTATCGATCCCAAAAACATTGAAACTGATAATTATAATGTAATGGATAAATTTGCAATGTTTATTTTAAAAATAATATTATTATTTTGTAAATAAATAATATTATTTTATTGTTATCCTTTATAACATTTTAAGTGTTTACCTAATATGTTGTAATAACAAATTAAGTAATCAATAAAATAATGTTATATAAGCGGTTATTACTTAACTGTACGTTATAAAAAAAATTAATGAGTTTTTACATCATTAAAAACAAAAGAATCCTTACAATAAATAAATAATCTTTTCAAGTCCTTTACAAATTACGTTAATATGTATGTAATAATTAGATAATAAGTATTTTTTTACAATTCATAAATAATTTATTTTCAAATAATATTCTTATTATATTACATTGTAAACTTAATTACAATATGCAATTATTTTTTTCGTTAATAAATGAATATAAAAAATATTATAATCAATTAACGTAGCTTTTTTTATAACGTACAAGTTAAGTAATAACAAAAAAATGTTATTACATTATAATAAACGTACAAGTTATTTTAAAATAACAAAATAATAATTAACCAGTTATGTTATCCTTGGTAATATTTTAAGTGTTTACCTAATATGTTGTAATAACAAATTAAGTAATTAACCTATTACGTTATATAAGCGCTACCTAATATGTTATTGTGCTTGATAATGTTTCCAGTAATTAACCTATTTTATTATATAAGTGTTACCTATTACATTATATAAGTGGTACCTAATATGTTATTGTTCTTGATAATGTTTTCAGTAATTAACATACTTTATTATATAAGCGATACCTATTTTATTATATAAGCGCTACCTATTACATTATATAAGCGCTATCTAATATGTTATTGTGTTTGATAATGTTTCCAGTAATTAACTTTTTTTATTATATAAGTGATACCTATTACATTATATAAGCGGTACCTAATATATTATTGTGCTTGATAATGTTTCTGATAATTAACCTATTTTATTATATAAACGTTACCTATTACATTATATAAGCGGTACCTAATATGTTATTGTACTTGGTAATATTTTCGGTTAAATGATATAAAATAATTGATCTAAATTTTAACCGATCACTTATTTAACCGGTCACGCCATTTTTTAAACGCCGCACAACATAACTTCCCATAACAATAACAACATGCGTATACTAATTTTGTCTTCGATCACTCATATATAGAGTGTATGTTTAAAAATTTTGTATTTAAATACTTGGAAAAAAACATATACCTAATCATGAATGATTTGAATATTGTAAAAGTTTATTAAAAAAATTAATCTTCTCCATTCATAAAATTAAAGTTTAAATCTCTTAATGTCCTAAATGATTATTTAACATATTTGTTCACAAATATAATCAATGATTGCATGAACCAGGCTTATTGCCTCATTACTTGATCAAAGATTGAAGTAAAATAAGTTGTAGATATACACACCTTTAACTTTAAGACCCCACCTACCATATCATGCTAAAATGTATGTTCACCCCTCCCACCAAAACTAACCCAAAACACTAGTAAAATTAAAACCCAATTCCTCCGCAAGGAAGCAATCCTTGAACAGAAACTCTAGAACTAAGCTCCCACTTCTTCACTCATCTTCCATGGCAGACTTTCAAACTCTAAGCAGATAAACACTAAGTTCAGGAGCACCGTTGCTATCAGGATTCATCATATAGAAAGCTTCCGAATCCCTCGACCCAACGATTCTCTCGAATGTAGCTCTCATGTACATAACTTCGCCAGCTTCGGTTTCGGTCGCTGGTAAAACTCCACCTCCCATGGAGATTGGTTCCAAGGCTTTAAGGATGTTCCGTTCGTTAGCTCCGTAGTCTCTCCTCGTTGCGAACCCACATTTCTTTCCGTCACAGTAAGTTCTCCAAACGGTCTCTTCCAGCAATCTCACGGTCGAACTCGAACCATTGTTATTACGGTCTTCTTCTTTGCGTTTATCGCACTCCAGAGCGATCCTGACCGGTCCGGACGCCATTTCCCGATCCAAACCGCTTATCGGCGTGGCGAGCTCAACGAGGAAAGCTGGCGGGGAATTGGGATCTTTCTGCAAAGAGAAATGAACGTGTCCGTGCCTGTAACCGAAAAGAGTGCCAATCACTCGTGACCCGAGCCCCGAACGGTTCTTCCTTAAAGCTGATACGACGGATCGAAGCCTGGCGATGGGAACCGACGCGGCTGCCGGAAGCTTTTTCTTCCTGGGTGTGAGCAAAGAAACTGCATGGGGTTTAAGAGTTATTCTTTTTCCATTGGTGTCTTCTTCATCAGAGTTTGAAGAGGTTATGGTTGCCATAGCAGGGTTTAAGATATGAAAAAGGAGAACAAAATAGGCTTAATGAGTGTGAAGAACAGAGAGAGAGAGAGAGAGAGAGAGAGAGAGTCAAGGTTTTATTTTTTCAATGCTTTTGGATTACATTGATTTGTGGGGCTTGTTGGTATTTAATTCTTTGTTTCTAGTTCTTTGGTTTAGTGAAAGAGAATCCTGACGAACATCAAACTGCCCCACACGGCCAATTAAGGGAGTGGATTTAACTTATGTATTGTTTTTTTTAGATTATAATCTAAATTAAATATTTATGTATATATTAATATGTGCACTAATAATTTGGATTCTCCCTAACTTTCTACTTAGCAAAACTTATTTTACTTTAAAGACAGTCCCTCGCTTTAGAAAACGAAGTCCCTACATGAACTATCAATTTCTTGAAGAAAAAAAATCAGACTCAACTTGCCAAAAGGGTTTATTTATTTATTTATTTATTTATTTTATATGTTTATTTTATATTATATTCAACTTGATAGTTACATTTAAGGGTGTAATTGAATCAAATTTGAATGAACAAGGTTGTCTTTTTGTTTGTTTTTCTTAAAGATGTTCATGTTCAATCCGTGTTCGTTTAATTTTTTATTATTATGTTCGTGTTCATTTTCGATTTATGTAACATTCACAAACATGCTCATTTAACGTTTACAAACAAACATAAAATGATAAAATTATATCACTAGTCCTTAAATTTATTAGGCTTTATCGTTTGAACTCCAAATTTTACCTTGTACTTAACATATTACATACTTTCACCAATATTTAAAATATAAAAAAAATTAAAAAAAAGAACCATATAAATAAACTTATAAATGAGTTTTTTTTATAATCGACTCTTCTTATCATTTCTTTTATTTTGGCCCTTCTTTCATTTTACCTTTGAATTTAAAAAAAATAGGGGAAGTCATCCTTCTTTTATTAATAAGCCCAAACGAATAACAGTTCACTATTTTTCTCCCGATGCAATATTACTCTCATTTAATAAAAGTGTTAGGAAATTTTTAATCTCTTTTGAGAAATTGATTTGATTTCAAATGTATTCGAATCTATATAATTTTTAAGAAAATTTATTAGATAAATTCGTCGCATCACATTATTCATAGTATCAATCAATAAATCCATTCATCTCATTTTTTTAAGGTGAATCTTCTCCTCTTTCCTACATATAAACAAAGAGTGGATAATTATTTAAAAATTATTTTAGGATAAATATATTTTATTAACTGTGATAACAAATAATGTGATGAGTCTGATCCATATAATAATTTTTGGATTATTAGACATTAAGAATATAAGTTCTTATTATTATTTTATTTATTCTTATGTTTCTTCTCTCGTGAAAATTTTGACCTACGATAAGTTCAGTTTCATTCCTTTCCATATGTTTAATAAGGATACATTAACAGTTGCATTAATTTTCTATAAAATGATTACATTTAGCCCGAGTTCTCCCAATCATTGCTTTTGGGTGCACCCATATTGTGGGGATTGGTGCCCTACAAATTCATTTAAACCCTAATCATAGAATGTATCAAAAGGAAAAAAACTAATCATATAATGTATCAAAAGAAAAAAAAACTAATCATAGAAGTCATCAAAAAGCAAAAATATTTTATAATAAAAAAATTCCCAATTCCTGACCCAAGAATGATCTTTTCCACTATATGTCGACTGCTTATAACTTTTGATTTTCTGCTTCTTTCTACTTGGAAAATTCAAATTTCACGCGCTCTATCTTTTTTCATGAAATTAGGTTATATATTTATCTTGAATACATATTGTATCAGTTCAAAGATGTTAAATCTTTCGACAATAAATATTCATACTTCAACATACGTAATACTTAAACTCAAGATCTCAAAGAATAACAATAAATTTCTTAATTACTAAGATCGTTTTGTTCATGCTTATCTTTAATTCTTTAATATATATACGTATATATATATACACGTGTGTGTATATATGTGGTGGTTTTAAGTTGTCCAACTGTAGCATGGCCACCTTTCCTAGTTTCATGGCTTTCATAGCCTCTCCCATAAAAGAAAGAGTTGGAATTCTTTCAGTGGTATGCAGCGGCCAACACAGAAATCGATGTTCGTGCTTTGTTTTTATTTTTTATCATCGACTCATCCATCATTCTTCAATAGTTGGGCCACTTTGCTTTGTTAATTGTACATCATTATATATATTCCACTGAAATGGGGTTGCTGGTTTATGTAGATTATAACCTACTTGATCCCTACTTTTCTCCATTTTTCAGCTATCTCTGAAGGTCTAGTTTTCTATATCTGTATAGGGTTTTGTATCGATTGTTCGAGTGGCAGTCGAGTTTTTTATGTGTCGGGTCCGAGGCATGCGTGATATTACATACAACAAAGCAAGCCCTTGTTCTGCCATCCCAGAAAATATTGCACTTGTTGCACTGGGGTGAGGTCAATGAAATTGAATTGTGAAGATTTCACGCATTGGTTAATTGTTGTAAATTTAATTGTAGTAACATCTTCACTAAAAACGGATAAGAAACGATCACAATTTTATTAATTGAATTATCATCTTTACTAATTATTGGAGTATCATTGTCAAAATTTAAATATTATTTCAGGTCAGACTAGAATCGATATTTAATGTTCAAATAATTTGTTAAATTACTATGTTGAGAAACACATTTAAAATATCAACTTAGATGTATTGAGAAACGTATTTGAAACATATGTATTAAATTCTAAACATTTTATATCACTGTATGAACAACTTGAATATTATGTATTCAAAAGATAACCCATTAAATTTTAATGTCAATCAAATTTTTTATACGACAAAGCATATAACATATGCACACGTGTTTAAAAATTGATCCGAATACATTTGACTTTGGATCAAAGTTGACATGTTTTTGGAATAAAAATGAGCCTAAAAAACATAGGGAACATAGGAGACCCTACTGCATCCCGATCTAAGATCTAATGAATGTTTGAAGTACACGCGTCAAATATCCTGAGTTCACCATCAATACTGTCATGAGCTTTGCCAGAAAATTAACAACCATGTTTGTTTCCCTTGGGATTAGTTTGTATTTAACTCACCAATCTCTATTAATCAAATAAAAAAAATACTTCTAACCTGAGCGATTAGACTATTGGAGGAGGCCAACGTCATCATCTGAAAAGCATCAGCGCTAACAATCTGGAAAATTAAGTGATGAAAACCTCTTTCCCACGCTAACTTTAAACCATCTAACACCGCCAAAGCTAGGACTGAACCGCTGCGGAGGTACCCAAAAGTCCGATAAAAACCCATAACGGAGTTGCCATAATGATCACGTAAAACACCACCAGTTGAACCTCTGTTGTCAATACCCACATACCCATCTGTGTTTAAGCAGAAAAAACCGAAAAGAGGGGGCTCCTATTGAATTTCAACAGCATTTGGTATGGAATTTGCGCTTGTAGCGGTACTTCTTGAAGAGTAAACTTTTGCCAAAGTGAGACTGTTGGAAGCAAAGAATCAATAGACTTGACATTTAATATTCAAATAGTTAGTTAAATTAATACGATGATATGTTTGAAATTGTGTTAATAGTTTGAGATTAATTTAGAATATTTCAATATTTGGGGATTAATATGTACTCTGAACATAGTTTAAAAATACCTCTAAACTTTAAACTTTAAACTCGGATATATTCGACGGGAATAAAACCACTTTATTAGATTTTATTACATGTAAATGAAAACAACATTGATATCATTGCATATACCGGTCTAAACAACTAGATACATCAACTACAATAAGCACTTGGTACAAGATGGAGAGGTAACTTTTTAGAGGCTGCAATAAAGAAGGTTTCGGTCATGTCTAAGCTCACACAATCAGCGTCATCTGCCAATTTCCAGTCAAACCAATACAAAAGATTGGCAATAAAAAATTCAAGAACAGAGACCCCAAATGATATCCCAGGGCAACCCCTTCTTCCCACACCAAATGGAATGAACTCAAAGTTGGAACCTCTGAAATCAATGGTGTTGTTTTCAAATCTCTCTGGGATAAACTCTTCTGGGTTTTCCCAAACCTGTGGATCCCTTTGGATCATCCATGCATTGATGAGAACTCTTGTCTTAGGCAAGATGTCATAGCCATTCAGTTTGATTCTGGCCGATGTTTCACGGGGCACCAACAGAGGAGCAGCAGGGTGTATTCTTAGAGTTTCTTTGATGATGCATTTCAAATACTCCATTTTGTTGATATCATCTTCTTCAACTTTTCCTTTTACATTCACCACTCTTCGAACCTCTTCTTGGACCCTTTTCAACACTCTTGGATTCTTCAAAAGCTCCGCCATTGCCCATTCTGTTGTTGTTGCAGTACTTTCAGTTCCCGCCAGGAACATATCCAGTAAAATTGCTTTGACGTTGTTCATCGTGAGCTTTGTATCTTGGTCATTCTGAAGTAAATGGAGGAGGATTTGCACAAGGTCTTTCTTGCTATGGTCTTCGTCTAGTATGTTACTTTCAGAACTCTTAATTTGCTCTTGAATCACTGAATCAAGGAAAGCATCCATTTCATTGAAGGTTGTTTTGAAGCGTCCAATAAGTCCAGTAAGAACATCAAGCCATCCCAGACCAGGGAACAAATCTCCGAAGCTAAAATCCGAAAATGTTCTCACGAATCTTTTGGCAAACACTCCGAAATTCCCATCATCTTTGGCTTTTTTCCCAATAATGCATCTAGAAGATATAGTATGTGAAGTTTCAAGCAACATTTGACTTAGATTTACTGACCTTCCATTGCAACATTCATGGCGTATTCTGTTGATCAGCGAAGCAACTTCTTCTTCTCGAACGAACCGAAATGATTGAACCCTTTTTTGGCTTAAAAGTTCTAAAACACAAATCTTTCTAGCTGTTCTCCAGTACTCGCCATATGGTGCCAAAAAGAAGTCCGAGCGTCCGTAAAGCATGATTTTTGCTGCTGTCATACTTGGTCGATCCGAGAAAACGACATCGTGATTCTTCACCATTTCTTCCACGATTTTAGCTGATGAAATCACAAGTGCTGGGATCTGGCCGAGCTTTAGAAGCATTAGAGGGCCATACTTGTCGGAAAGAGAGCGTAAGGAGCGGTGAGGGAGTCTGCCGAGCTGATGGAGGTTGCCGATGATTGGTAGTTTTGGCGGTGACGGAGGCGGATTTCGATGACTACGATGTTTGAACTTGAGGAAGCCGTTGATGAAGAGTAGGATAAGAAGCGATAGAACGAGGGGACTGTAGAGTAGGCCTTTATTAATGGAAAACCATGAAGATCGGCTTAGAAAATCCCATGGATATATCGCCATTTTTCACTACTCGAACTGAGATCAAAGGCGTTGAAAATTCTGGGTTATTGGTTGTTGAAATAATAATGTTAAAATTGCTTGCGTTATCGCTACCAACTCTTGCACATGTCCCTCAACCTAGGGGTGTGAAAAAAAATTCTATCCAACCAATCAATTAATCCGATGATTCGATCTAAAAATTTAAATATTTAATTTATTTTTAAAATTGTAAATAATTTAAGTTAAATGTTCTAAAAAATATATAATCAAATTAAATACAAATCTATCAGAATTCAATTATTCAAAAATCTGATTAAAAATGAGCCTTTAGAATATTTATCCAGAACCAATAATCTCAATCAACCAACTGACCCAAACATGAAATATCCAACGCCTGAGGGTGTTCAGTTGAATCAGATCAGTTTAAATCTTATACAAGATGAATTATGTTAATTTAATGGTTCGACTTAGATCAATTCAGGTTTAAGTTAAATCAGTTCGAGTTATTTTCATGTTGATTTGACATCGAATTCAGTTCAAGTCGGGTTAATTTTAGTTTGGATCGATGTCAGTTTATGTCAAAACGATTCGAGTCCGAAACAATTAAATATCAAGTTAGTTTAGATTCGGATGGACTTCAGTAAGATCTTGTTCAAATCAAGTCACATCATTAACAGATAAAATTCAGGTTGAATACGGATTAAAGTTGAATCATTTGTGGATTAATTATTTTTCGTCTTTCAATGTTTCATAAATGTGAGAACATTTAATTGTAATTTGTAATTGTATATGATTTAAAATAAATTATAAAAAATATAAATAATTATGGGCTAATTTTGATAAAAATATAATTTAAAGTATTAAATTGAAAAAAATATAAAATTAAAAACAAAAATTTAAATAAACTAAACAACACGCATGAATGAACGATGAATAATATCTTTGTCCGTTAAAATTTACTATTCAAAACTCAAAATTTCACCATCTAAATACCGAAAAATATATATATATATATATATATATATATATATATATATATATATATATATATATATATATATATATATATACTTCCAAACTTCAATCAACTATATTCATAATTTTTCATGTGATTATATTTATAATGACATTACCTTAATGCAATTGTTTTAAATTCTCTCTTTAATAGAAACTGCTCTGTTATAGTAATATTAGTCTATGGACTATTTCGTTAATAATGGATAAAAGGATTATGTAACCGACATCTATGAATATTTTATATTGTTGTATAAAATCACAAAAAAAAAAAAAAAATGATACAACATAAAATATTAAATTTAAATATGAAATTTTTATCAAAATTAGAATTTTTATTCGGATACGAATATCCATTTATATGATCTTAAAATTTAGATATTCAAAAATTTGAATATTCGATTTTTTCAGATTAGATACGGATTACAATTTTAGTGATCCGAATTTTTGGATATTCAAGATTTCAAATTGAGTGATATCTGATATTCGAAAATAAACATCCCTAACTGAACTTAGTGTTATTTAAAAAAACAACTAATTTTATTAAGAGATAGAAAATATCCAAAATTATAATAAAAATTTATAGTTAAAATCATAAACTAAATATATAATTGAAATATTCTCATATAATTATTAAGAAACTAACCACTTAAGATCATATATGAAATATACAAAGAAAATGTGAAAACCAAGTGCAAAAAAATTTAAACGAAAGGTAGATACAAACATATATGAATGTTACGACAAACGAATCACAATATGGGATAAAACTACTGAAACACCGTCGATAAAATGCAAATCATAGTCAAGCATCGTGAAAGAACTAGTTACGATCGCATGTTACGTATCCAAATTTAATTCGATGATCTAAGGTAGGAAAGATTAATAGAATAATAAATTAGTGTCATATTGATCAGTAGTGATGATGTTAAATCTAATATTAAAAAATAAACAAACAAACAAAAAGGTGCTAAAATTAGTGTCGTAATGAAAAATAAGAAAAAAGGAATAGAAAATAACCTCATTAACCAAAAATGCCTAATAATATACGATTTTAACCAACTTTTTTTTGGATTTGCCAAAATGACCAACTAATTCGCAACGCGATCTCTAGTATCGCAAATCAGTTTCCAGATTCGCAACGCGAACTTAGACTATCGCAATGCGAACTAGGACTATCGCAATGCGAACTAGGACTATCGCAATGCGAACTTGGACGACCACGACCCCGACCCGACCCGAGACGGACGGCGGCGGCGCGCGAGAGTCCCCCTTGTTCTCTATCACTCAACAAGGAAGTGAGAAAGCCAAGCCTTAAATACCATTCCCAATAGTGTTTCCAATACTATGTGAGATTGAGCATTACCAACACTTGTTTCCAATACAATGTGATTATTCAGGAAACAATTAACAATCATGCACCTTAAAACAACTGAATCAGCAACCAATTGCATTAGTATTATACGATTAAATATGTCATAATTAAAAATCAATTTACAATCAATCGCGATTATTGCAATTTTAAGCAAAACATTCAAAAATAATATCACTATTTAAGGCTCAATCCCACATAGTATTGGGAACAAGTGTTGGTAATGCTCAATCCCACATAGTATTGGAAACACTATTGGGAATGGTATTTAAGGCTTGGCTTTCCCACTTCCTTGTTGAGTGATAGAGAACAAGGGGGACTCTCGCGCGCCGCCGCCGCCGCCGTCCGTCTCGGGTCGTGGTCGTGGTAATACGTGTCTTCGACATGTCCGCACGAATACTATCTTTTTAGAGAAAATTCTTATGAAACAAATGCAATACCGTCGTTGCGATTTTGGAATAAATCGCAACGCGAACTTCGACTATCACAACGAATTTGGAATAAATCGCAACGCGAACTTCGACTATCGCAACGAACTTGGAATAAATCGCAACAAGAACTTTGAATATCGCAACGAATTTGGAATAAATCGCAACGAATTTATAATAAATCGCAACGAATTTGGAATAAATCGCAACGCGAACTTCGACTATCGCAATGAATTTGGAATCGACTATCGTAATGAACTTGGAATAAATCGCAACACGAACTTGGACTATCGCAATGCGATAGTCGAAGTTCGCGTTACGAATCTGGAAACTGATTTGCGATATCGGAGATCGCGTTACGAATTATCGATCGCATTGCGATTTAGTTGGTCATTTTGACAAATCCAAAAAAAATTGGTTAAAATCATATATTATAAGGCATTTTTGATCACCGATGTTATTTTCTCAAAAGGGAACTACGGTGGGTGATGTTATTTTCTCAAAAGGGAACTACGGTGGGTAGAGAAAAGAAGCAAGTGCAAGGGTTTTATTTTTTATTTTGAACATGTAAAGCTGATCTTTAATGAACTGAAAACAACACATTACAGTATAAAAGAAAGGCAACAATTGTAATCGAGAAGATAAAATAAAAGTTCTGTCTGCCCAAACCAGCAAGAAGATGTGCAGCATTATTCCTCTTTCGATTGACATGCAAGAAAAGTAAGAACTCAAAGTCCTTTTTTTTCTTCTGAAATATTATAATACACTACACTCACCAAAGATCTATCCATTGTAGGAGACACCACCTTAGAAATAACAGGGAGGGCATCTCCTTCAACCTCGATGCGTCGAAAACCCAAGTCCTTTGATAAAATCAAGGCTTGTTCACAAGCAAACGCCTCAGCCATCTCAGGGTTCAAAATGAAAGAATTTGGGTAAGTAATCCATTTGAATCCCTTAAAACAATTCCAGAGACTGATTGAAGAGTAGACCGATTAAAGCTAGCATCGAAATTGACTTTAATTTTACCGTCTGATGGAGGGATCCATTGGTTTGAGGTATTTCTTGTAGTTATAGGCTGATGAAGGAAGCATCTATCTCCTGGGCATAAGCTCGACAAAAATTAGCGACCTCCTGTGTTGTCTGTATAAGACCATCATGCAAAATTTTATTTCTAGAGCCCCATATAGCCCAGATGGCTATTACCATAATTCGGCGGTCATTAACACTGAGGGACTCAAAAAGATTTAAACCAGAGGATAAAATTCTGCTCAGCTAGACCAGATCCCATGGAGACGCCCAATTTCGAGAAAACTTGTTGCGAAAAGGAACAATCATGAACCAGATGTTGAACAGATTCAATATTCAATTGGCAAAGGAGACAAAGAGGATGAACAGCTATTCTTCGAAGCAACAAATTCGAAAAGGTTGGAATGTAATTGTTGATGAGTCCCCAAAAATGAATTTTGATCTTGGAAGGTAGCGGGAATGCCCAAACCGAGCTAAGAAATTTGGTGTTCCAATCGTCCTCGAAAGAGCTGGGGTTACTGGAGCCATGAACAGAGGAGTTAACAAGCCATCGACAGGGTACAAAAACACCAAGAACCGATGAGTTAGATGATTACCATTTGCAGATGGACGAGCTATATGCATTGTTGTTTGCATCACTTGTATTCATTTCGTCCATTTTAATTTGACTCAAACTAGCGGAAAGGAACGACCTTAAGCTGCCTCCGTCGCCCCCCAAAGCTTCCACTCGTATGCAACGTTCATCAACTAGGCAAATTTCCCCACCGCACTCTTCGAGACCTCTCCATGAACTGTGGCTTTCTCTTGCTTCTACAGTTGGGGCAAAACCCGACACTACTGGTTTCAGCGATCGACATGGTGAAAGAAATAGTAAAAAACCACGATGCTGTCTTCTCCGACAGAGCAAATGCAACAGCGGCGGATATCTTGTTTTATGAAAGCAAAGATCTTGCTTTTTCATCCTACGGTAAAGATCTTGCTTTTTCACCCTACGAAAATCAGTGGAAATGAAGTACTTAAAATGTGTATTCAAAGAAACTTTGAGACTACGTCCAAATGCTCCTCTTCTTGTTCCTCGACTAACATCAGCAATCTATACAATCAAAATTAGCCCTTAAAAATAAAATATACCGAACCAGGAAGTGAACAGAGCCAGGGGTGGGCAGTATTTTTCTCCGGAACCGAAATGGTGAGAGGCAAAGCAGACAAAACTCTAGACGCCATTCCAAGTTTCGAGCAATGGAAGGAGACATGACTGGAGAACTCGGTTTGGTCTCGGCGATCCACGGACACTTGGAAGGGGTCGCTGAGGATTATAACTGCACTCGGCTTATCCTGATAAGGATCAGCGGGAAAGTGTTGTGTGCCGAGCGCGGCCGTCTCTTGAAAATCTACTTCATGTCTCGATGTCGTCTTAAACGGAGTCTCTAGAATATAAGATGTGTGTCTAATTTCGGACAGGATAACATTTAATAGTACTTTTCAGAAAGAAAAAAAGAAGCAAAATAAATAAGTATACGGTACATGCAAATCATGCAACTGAAACAATATAAGGAATATATATATATATATATATATATATATTTGGGTAAACTATAATGGTGGTAGCTTTGGTTTTCTTTATTTCTGATTTTGATCATTCAATTTTAAAAATTATATTTTAATTATTTATATTGTCAATTTATTATAAAATTAATTCTCGTTGTATTAATGATATCACGTGTTAACAAAAATAGTTAATTTTTAATTTATCTTTAAGATTTTATTCAAAATATTAAATTTGTACCTTTTTAGCTGTAATTATTAAATATATGAATTTTTAAACTTTTTTTCGGCATACATTCTATTACTTCAAACTATTATCGCTATTCGATTTCGTTGATATCTTCAATCAATTAAGGTGTCAAAACGATTTTCTCTTTCCTTCAATGAGTTTTTTTTTTGTCTTATAAAGACATTTGGATCTTTTTGTTTTTATTCTTTCTTAACACCATTGTGATTATTTCCGTAATTACAATTATTTGACTACCATTTATGAAAAATCAATATCAAAATGTTATTTTTTTAGTAACTTCTTTATTTTTTTATCCTTTCGGTTCTAAAGTTTTACTCTAACAAATTCGAATCGACCTGTCTCGCACACTTGACCTTGGTAAATGAGTCTCCCAACAGAAATCTTTTACATACACAAGAACTTGAACTCGAATGAAATTCAAATACTTTATATGGATGAAATTCAAGTCAAAGCTTTGAATTTTCTTGATTAGATCCGTCATTTATCATTAGGTAAACATGAAATTAAAACATATTGTTTATCATAATCTTTCGCGTCTTTCTACCATTCCAATTGAATGTTAACAATATCATACTTCAAAAGTCAAATGAACTTTTTATTCGTCTATTTATTTATTTAAATAAAAAATAAAATAAGAAAAATAGTCTCATTTCAGACTTTTATAATTTTGTCGGGCGGAAAATTATTCAAAAGAATAACATCATTTTAGGTTTTTTTGAATTAATCACTGATATCCGATCTATTAATTGACTAATCCAGATAATGTATTACAGAGGCGAGAGCAACCCTTCCAGCCCAGTTTGCTCCATTTGCAAATGTCAAGATTCGAACCCCCTGACCCTACTTAAGGGATCTAATGCCTCATCCCACTAGACCAACTGATTGTTGGTATCATTTTAGGTTTTTATTTCATGTTAAGAATTTGATTAGAATATATTACATATTTTAGAAGAAAAAAAAGTTGAATTAGAATAGATTACATATTTTTAGGGGAAAAAAGTTGATATAAAAATGTGATTTTTTTAAATTGATTAAATTAATATTGTAATTAAAGATGATTAAGTTGATATTTTAATTAAAATGTAAAGTTGAAATTAATTTTTTTTTATTAACATGATATATCATTAATCTGATAAAAATTAACGTTCTTATGATGGTTTTATGATAAATAAAAAATGTAATCAAAACATAAATTTTAGAAATGTGTGTTCAAAATAAGAAAAAGGAAATAAAAGTAACCAAAAGTGTTTATCCTATTGTTTTATTTTTTTCGTAAATTACACTAATCATCATTTAACTTTATTCTCTCTCATTTCATTCACTGGACTTTTAATTTTTCCAATTTAGTCATTAAACTTGATAGATTGAAATTTTTTAATCACTAAACTGTCTTCTCTCTAATAACTGGATGACTTGAAATATTTTAATATTAAACCGGCGACATTGGATATGTAGTTAATAAAATAAAAAATAAATTGGGTCATTTACGAAGCATCTAAGCCGCCATTAACACAACCAAAAACCAACAATAATCCTTCTCGCTATCTCCAAATTCTCCATTAACAGAGCAGCCATTGAAACACCATGTCTTTGCTCTTCTTATTCTCATTCCTTTTCCTTTCATACCTCCCGCCATTGTTGTCCTAGCAAAGCCCATCTTTTAGTTTCTCGGATTTCCCATGGATTCACAAAACATGTTTTTATCTTAAGAAACGGAGTCTTCGTTGTTCGGTTTAAGCCAATCAGTTCTTCGGCAAATCTATACATTTCTCCGTTTGGTATAACGACATTTCCGAAAGCAGCACTGTCGTTTGTTCGGCTAATGATGATTATTTGGTGACCAAGAATTCATCGCTTGTTATTGGCAACAACAGCAACCTTTAATTACCCAACTCTTTGGGTCAAAACTTGTTGTCGGGATTGCCGTCAGCAATTGGTGTTTTGAAATCGACGAGGCCAAAACTAGAGGATGTGAGAAATCTCGTTTCTTTATAGATCAAGTCATTGATCCTTAATACCTTAATACCCTGCGAGCCAAACGACGAATCATTGGCTTAGTTATTCCCTGGATGTTGTCCCTTAATACCTTCTTATGCCTAATGGTTCCTCCCTAGCCACCCCCTTTACTCTCTTTCCCCTTCGATTTTCTCAGGAAAAAATTTCAAGATGAAGATTGAAAATGAAATTGTTTCGTTAACGAAATCAATTCTATATCTACGGAGTTCAGGGTGTTTTTCGGTTAAATTGACATTGAATTTGTATTCAAAAAAAGGTGAGACGTGTTCGATGAAAAATTTGAGTCAATGACCTCCGATCATGGTGACCGTGGGTGATCGATGTGTGGTGGCTATAATTTGGATTTGTTGAAGTTGTGGAGAGAGACGGGTAGAAGATGGGAGGAGAAGAAGAAAGAAGAAGGGAGGAGGAGAACATAAAAAAATAGAGAAAAAACAACTTTTTTTATTTAGATCAAAACTACTTCGTTTTGATCTAATTTTTTTTATAGATTCAAAGCTACGCTGTTTTAATATTATTTTTCATGTCATAACATCGTTAAATAATTAACTACGAAGTGATCAAAACAAGAATAACGATAAAATTTAGTAGGTAAATAAAGTTTTTTTGAAATATATGGAATAAAATAGGAGAAAGTAAAGTTCACTGAAATTAGTGTAATTTACCCATATTTTTTTAAATTTATTTTATACTCCACCTTCTCTTCCTTGCGTTTTTGTTCACACTATCTTTTGCTACCATTTCCCATAACAAAACTTTGATCTTTTTAGTATCTTCTCTCTCTCTCTCTCTCTCTCTCTCTCTCTCTCTCATTTTCTTCTGCTGAAATTAGGGTTTTGGAATGTGGATTTACAATGTCACAAACTAAAGAAGAAGCTTCTATCTCCGACACGACTGCTCCGGCCGATTCCCCCCTTAACGTTTTAGGGCATAATTCCCCTGATCCCGATCCGACTCCAAATCCTGACGAGTCGCCGACATCGTCAAATCTTAATCACGTGGCTGAGGAAACCGGGCATGAAGAAAACAATCTAGAAGAGCAGTTGCGGGAACTCGATTTGAAGAAGGAAGAGGAAGAGGAGAAGGAGGAGGCTGCTGAGACAAAAAGCTATGGGGAGAGAAAAAGCGAAAATGGTTACGACGATGCTGATGCCGGCGCTGACGGAGACGAAGAAGACGAGGAGGATAAAAACGAGAATGAGAATGATGGTGAAAACATGAAGAGTTATGAGAGAGTGATGTCGCATTATCCGGTGAGACCGGACGCAGATGATTGCGCTTATTATATGAAAACTGGACTTTGCAAATTTGGATCTAATTGCAAGTTTAATCATCCTGTTCGAAGGAAGAACCAGGTCTTTTTTCTCACCTTATTGTAACTTTCATTTTATTTTATCATCTTTTTATGTTCTAGAAATGTTCTTGCTTTAGCTGAAGGGGAGCTTTGTTAGCTTTCTGTTAATTCAATTTTAATATTTGTTTCTATATTACTATGGCATTTGTTAAAGATTTTTTTTTTCAAAAAAATTCTTCTCATTTTAAGATTGGGTTGTTTGCTACATACGTGTACTTATTGATTTCGTGCTGACTTTTTATTTATTTTAATTCTGGGTATTTTGGATTTATGATGTTTGAAGGCTGTTCAGGAAAAATTCAAGGAAAATGATGAATCAAGTCAATCAACAGAGAAACCAAGCCAGACGGAATGCAAGGTCTGTATTCTTTCAATGACTGAATTTTTTGTAATTTTATAATTTTTCAACTAAAGCATAGTATTCTCCTAGCTTTTTAGAATTAGTGTTTGTTTAGTTACGCGTGAAAAACATCTGTGTATTTTCATTCATGTCTATAAGAAGTGTGCGTAGGTTGATAGTGACATTCTTTGTGTTACAATGTTGCTCGAGATTTTTGCAGTACTACCTAAGAATTGGTGGATGTAAGTTTGGTAAGGCGTGCAGATACAACCACTCAAGGGCAAAATCTTCAGCTGCTCCGGTTTTAGAACTTAACTTTCTGGGACTCCCCATCCGACAGGTACCACTTCTGTTTTTACTGTATTTATTAATTGAAATTTTTTCCAGACTCCATAATTCAAGTCCTGGTGCACTTTTGCGTTTGTTCTGCAATCAACCGAACTGTATGTTATTTTTTAGTGGTTATTAGGAGTAATCGTTTTGGAAATTTGAAAGTTTTAATTCATTACAGGGAGAGAGAGAGTGCCCCTATTACATGCGTAATGGGTTGTGCAAGTATGGAGCCAACTGCAGGTTTAATCATCCTGATCCTACCACTGCTGGAGGTTGTGACCCACCTGCAGCATATGGTAATGGTGGATCTGTTTCATCACAAGCTGGTTCACAAGTGAATATGGCATCCTGGTCCTCACCGAGGGCATTGAATGAGACTCCTGCTCCCTATATGCCAGTTATGTTTTCACCAACTCCAGCTATTCCACCCCTAAATCCAGAATGGAATGGTTATCAGGTACTATCATCGCTCCAATGCTGTTTTAGTTTATGTATTATAGTCTACGGCATCTATTAAATCCATCTTACCATACTATAGTGCATGGCATCTATTGGGTTTATCTTAGCATTACTTGGTCCTCACCTACATCTTAGAATCTATTCAGATCATTAATGGAATATTTTCAACTTGACAGTTAAAACTAGTTTCTAGATGCGTTTGTGTAGTTTGGGTTTTACGAACAAGTGCCTTATTAAGGGCCTCATTAAGGTTATCATTTGAAATAATTTATATGTTAGTGCATTGGAGTTCCTGACATTAACTTTCGGTTACTGCATTTAATAAAATAGTATTTTAACTAACTTGAAGAAGTGGCTAGCACCCATTATTTTTTGCCAGCTTCATATATTTTTTTTTTTGAAAATTATGTTGCCTTTCAACCTTTCTCGATGAAGCTAAGGTAACTTTGTGCATCAAGGTCTGAAACACATGTACATGTAGGCGTAGTCATACAGCCTATGTATAGGAGACTACAAATACACTGTAACATACATTCTTTGGCAGAGTAAAAAAAGCTGACTTGCACCAAAGAGAGCCAAGTAGAACCTTGGCGTTGGTTCAGTTCGATGCATGATGGATTGCGTTGTGGGGTTGTCTAATGTTGCTCTTGCATGGAAAAATGGTTTTTGTTGGCAGATAAGATATACTAATTGCTTTGACAATTATAGTGTTAATATATGCATGAAAATGGCGAATCAAATGTTTCCCCATAATACTTTGTTTTCTTGTGCTCCTTATAACATGCATTTATTGCTTAGGTTACGTTTTTAGTTCTTGTTTATTTCGCTGCATTAGTTCAAGAAGCTCATGTTTAAAAATGCCTGATAGGTATTAAAACTGATTCTGCATATAATTTTCTCCAAGAAATCAGATTTTTTTTTTTCAAAACTTATAACCAATATGGTTCTGAACAATGACTTGATCTTGTTTGCCTTGTCAAGGCCCCTGTTTATCCCCCACCAGAAAGGAGTTTGCATCTAACCCCAGCATATGTCATGAATAACCCCTCAGCTGAAACCGCCGTCTATAATCAACATCAGCCACAGATGGTGGTTGATGAATTCCCAATACGGCCTGGCCAACCTGAGTGCAGTTACTTCCTGAAAACTGGGGACTGTAAGTTTAAATCTAATTGCAAATATCATCATCCAAAAAGTCGATCTACAAAGCAGGCCCCGTGTACTCTCAGCGACAAGGGCTTGCCACTGAGACCTGTAAGATTGTGCTCCTTTAGGTTATTCTTTTCTACCATATATATACATATATATGAACAGAAACTTGGTAGGTTATATTTTTTTTTTGGGAAAAAAACTTTTTTATGCACCCAGAAAATGAAAACAAAAGCAATTCACCTTGGATATTGAAATGCACTTCTTATCTTCTCGTGTATCTTGAAACATGTTCTTTATAGAAAATCAATAAAAAAAATTGCATCTGTTACAAGTTGGTACTTGATTGTTCATATAGGCAGTGATTAAAGCCCCAGGTTCTGTTAGGCACGTGGATTTCTACAGAAACGTATCATCTGGTTTAGATTCTGTAACGCATCTTCTCCTTGTGACACTATAGTTCATTCTTTTAGCATTTACTTTAATGGTTTGTGTTTTCGGTGATAACTATTAAATTCTAATTTCTAATCACATTCAACACTTGATTAATGCTTTCTAGTAGTTTTATCACCATTGAGATAGACATTTTATTTCGGAATCCAGGATCAAAGCATCTGCTCAAACTACAGTCGGTACGGCATTTGCAAGTTCGGACCAGCCTGTAAATTTGACCATTCAATGCAGGCAGCTCCTTCAACAACAGAATCTGAACTAGATAAGGCTCCACCGTTTGGCCATTCTGCACCATTAGAGCAAACCTCAATTGCGGAAAGTAATGGTACCCAAAATTAATTTTTCAGGAAAACGGCTTCCTAGCTCTTAGATCTCACATCAGAAGGATTCTAAATTTTCCGTTCATTTTTTTTTTAACTCGGAAGACTGCTTAACTTTTCTTCACTTATTCCATCGCCACAAGCCTTTTTAGGGGATGGCATTATATATGATGGTTTGTGTTGGTAGTGCTACAAAGCTCAAATTAAACCAGGATATGTAAAATGTCTCAGTTTCAAGTCATTTTAGGAACTAATACAAGTAAGATTTGGGATGTGTTGTACTTCCCTTGAATCCCCTTGGTCCGGTTTATTTCTTACATATGGATTGTTGGGTTTAGCTCGGGTTTATTTGTAAACCTGACCCGATTTGTTATATCTATATCCGATTCTGACCTAACCACAGTCCGTTTTTAGATTTATTTTCTATGCCAATTTGCATCTGAACTTCATATTACGTGCTATATTTCATTGAACATAACAAATTAATGAATGTTACTTTTTTTGGGTACACAATTAATGAATGTTACTTATAATATTAAATATTAACTTTAATTTGTCTATAACTATAACACTTATCTATCTATCAAAAAAAAAATTATAACACTTATCTATATCATAATAATTACTAATAAGTATTCATTATAAAAATTTGTTCGTAGGAAATTACATCTCATTCTTATATTAAAATCTATTTCTAGTTTGCCATAAAAATTGTATATTCCTTCAGCCACGCCTAATTGTTCTACAACAATCTTGAGTTCATTGTGCTGAAATAAAGGTTACCTTTTTCAAAAGGAGAAGCATAGTCATTTCAAGTTTAATCAATATTGACTATCTATAATAATTATGATTATAAATTATTAATAAAAATATTGTTTAAATGACAAATTAGAATATAATAAAAAAATAGATGATATTTCCGTTGATTTGTTTTATTACTTATAAATCCATATTGCATACATTTACAAATATAGAGTATAGATAAAGCTGTGAACTGCTACATACTAATTGACGTGGTTGATGCCTTACAAATCAACTGTAATACATGCGAAAGACTAAAAGGTAAGCATTGATTTTACCAACAAAAAAAGAAAAAAGAAAAAAAGTAAGCATTGAATATATGTGAAGCGATCATGTGAATTTATCGAGGAATTCATGTGCGATAGTCTTAATATACGGTTAAAAAATACGTTATCGGAAATATTATTAGGCGCTGAAAAATAACTGATTTTATTATTATTGGGCGTTTTAACCAGATTTTCGAAAAAATGACCGAAAATATTACTAGACGCTAAACAATGACCGAAAATGTTAAAAAATGTTAAAAAATGATGTTTTAAGTAAAAATAATAATATTACCGGTAATTTTTTACCGATTTTATTATTTAAACAATAACAAAACCGATAACACTTTATTTTAACCTTCTATTAAAGTGCCGCACTGTAAAATTTCTTGAATTTCTCTCTCCTTTTGAAACATAAAAAGATAAGCTACTTTGAGTAGGATCCCTTTGATTATAAAACGAGTCGATCGGATTATTTCCCAATTTTTATTATTTATTCCTAAAAATAGTACTAGCTGTATCTTTATTTTTATTTTTATTTTTATTATAAATTAGAGATTAAAAATTATTTGTTTCTAAACATAGTTTTATCCCTAATTTTATCTTTAGAATTTTATCTTAATAAGACAATATTCCTATTATATGATGCATCATTAATTCGGTTTTGAACTTTAATCTGATGGATGATTATTTATTTCTTTTAAAATTTCAAAGAATTAATTTTTTTTTTATAATTCCCACAACTTTTAAATGTGATCAACTTAATAAACTTACAAATTCTAAATATAATAAGGGTGAACTACAGCATATACCACTGAATTTAGGTGATGTATCGATTATACCGAACTTTTAATTTTCATTAATTATAACACTTAATTTTGATTTTGACTTCAATTATATTATTGGGTCAATAAATTTTAGCGACGCGATGATGTGGACAAATCGTCAACTCGTCATCATTTTGCGACTATTGAAGCCTAAAACAACATCATTTTAGGCATTAAACTTTAAAGGTGTATTGACTTTGTCACTAAACTTTTAAGCAATTCACTTTTTGTCATTGTGCTCTTTCGGCCACCATTGACAGTCAATCACTACTTGTCACCGATCGTCTTTCACGAAAAGATTGATACCAAATTGTTCGTATTTCACTCATTTCTTCTTATATGATTGGTTTTCCATGAAACTCATGCAAAATCGATAAAATTAAACAAAAACATACTATTTTAGGGGTTTGAGGGCTTTCTTAGATTTGAGGGTTTTTAGGTGTTTGTTTGAAAATTTGAATGATGAGAAACATTATTTCGAGAAGTCGAACAACATACCTTAAAATTAGTCTCATTGGATAGTCATCAGAAGAGAGAAGAATATTAGCACGTCGAACTTTTAAATGGGTTTTCTTTGATTTTGGATGAGTTTCATGAAAAATCAATCATAGGAGAAGAAATAGGAGTGAAATGTGAATGTTTTGGTACTTATCTTACCACAAAAGATGACTAGTGATGGGTGGTGATTGGTTGTCGACAACAACCGGAAAAATGTAGTGGCAAAAAACGAAGTATTTAAAAAAGTTTAGTGTCTAAAACAATGTTATTTTAGGCATCAATAGTTGTTGCTAAAACGATGTCATTTTATCCATGTCATCATAGCAACAGAAAAATCTGTCTATGTCATCGCGACATCAAAATTTAATGGCTCAGTGACGTAATTGAAGTCAAAACAAAAGTTTAATATTATAATTGAAGATATTGAAAGTTCAATGGTATAAAAGCTATTCCATCTAAAATTGAGTGGTATCTAGTGTAGTATACCCTAAAGTTTATTTTAATTTAAGATTAAAAAAAATTGTATATTCATTCAACCACATATAATTGCTGTACACAACATTGAGTTCATTTTGCTGAAACAAAGGTTATCTTTTTCGCAAAAAGAAATGTATATTCATTTCAAGTTTAATATCGATACAAGTTATCTATAATAATAATAATAATTTATTTTAATTATATCATTTTTTTTAAAATTATTTAAACATTAAATTATTAATATAATAAAAAGGTAACTATTACATGTGAGAGATTAAAGGTCAAGTATGCATTGAATGTGAATGAAGTGATCATGCGAGTATCTCTCTTTTTGAGAAAAAAAATCAGCTTTGGGTAGGATATCTAATTTTATTATTTATTTCTAAAAGTAGTCTAATTTGTATCTTAATTTTTTTTATAAAATTAGAGATTATAGAAATTATTAGTTTCTAAAATAGTTTTATTCTTATTTTTATCTTTACAGTCTTATATTGAATTTGTTTTTATTGTATCGAATTGGTTTTATTTTTATTTTTCATACAATGTATATTATTATTCAGATCTTTAAATTGATTAATAATATATATTTAAGTGTTATTGAACTGAAATTTTCATATATATTATAATATTAACCACGTCAACTGAAATAAGAATCAATGAACTTGATTTATCTCTTCCTATTATCTTTTTTTAAAATAATTTATACACATTTTAATTGTATAATTTTTAATAAAAATAATTATCTATAATAAAGAAATTACAAAATTCATGTAAGTTTTGAAAAATATTCTCCATTCTAGAGATAAGAAATTATTCGATTATAAAAAATAAATTTTATATATACATATTTAAAACGTATACTTTCCAATAAAATAATTATTTATAATAAACATATTTTCACAAATAAAGCAAAATTTTTTATATAAATATTATCTAGTCAAAAGGTAAAATTATTATTTCTTTTAAAAATTCAATGAATCACATATTTCTTTATAAACAAATTTAAATTCTCACAAATGTGTCACTTAATACTATTATAAAATACCCCAAAAATATAATCTTTATTGACAAAAATAAATAATAAACTTTTAGAACTTCCACAAATATTTATTTCTTCCTTATTATACTCATTGGATGGTGACTTAGTCAAACTTACAACTACAATTAATACGTGAAATTATTAATAATAAACATAAATATATATTCTTAAAATAAATTTAATTATAAAAAATGACAACTTCTCTTTTTAGTTCAAAAAATATATTCTTATACATTTATAGTATATCCTTATATTATTTTTCAGATTTACCTCATGTTAAATTAAAATTCATAATTGAATTTAAAGTTATACAGATTTAATTAAAAACAGTGTTTAATATTTCAAATTAAATTATTTTCACTACTCATCACTCAAACTCTAGAGGTCAATATCACTATTTAAAATAATATTAATTATATTTTTAATAATTAAAATTTAAAATTATTGTTAAAAGTATCTTTGACAAAAATAAAAATATTTAATTCTATCATTGATCGAGATCATAAAAATATAATTATTTTATCTAAAAAAAAATAACAATCCTAGTCACATTTGAAAATTTTAATTAAAATAAGAATATTTATTAAAGAATTTCAATTTCAAAAGAAAACAAACGCTCAAAGATTTGCGATTTATGAAAATCCACTCACTTTGTATTTCATAAGATTTCAACCATCGCCACTATAAATATATTATCTTTCTCACTGAATCCTCTGCATCTTTATTTGATTTATTTTGGTATTCTAAAGACTCTTCAACTCAAAGCTACCGAAATCTCTCATTAGCAAAACAAACATCAATCAAAGAATCAACAATGGAGGTTGCAACCGATAAGCAGCAGCACGATTCATCATCATCAGCAAATGCTGATGTTTTGAACGATTGGCTCCCCATTACCAAATCCAGGCACGCTAAATGGTGGTACTCAGCCTTCCACAATGTCACCGCCATGGTCGGAGCCGGAATTCTGGGTCTCCCTTATGCTTTATCTGAACTTGGATGGTTCGTTTCCAATCTTTTTTTCATCTTCTCTTTGCGTAACTTTTTTAATTCTCAGTAAAGAAATCGATCAAAAATGAAAAAAAAAAATATATGAAGTATTTGTGTTTGATACGTGTTCGAATAAAAGTATGATCATATAACTATAAACAATTTGTTTTATGCTATATCATTCGAAAGTGAGAAAAGGGGTTAAATATCTAGGATTTATGTTTAGCTGAATTTTTCTTTAATTTATATTGAAGTATTTTATTTTTCTATAACTATATTTGGCATATGTTGATACAGAGTATTATGCCTATGCCGGGCTGAAATCTGGGTATGCCCGGGTAAGTTATATAGTGTGTTAGTATTGTAGGAATAAATCAATTGTTTCTTTCTAGTTTTTGTCTATCATGAGAATATGTATGCATGAACACCATAGAGTTTTTCTTTAAAAGATCATGAAAAATTTATGTATGTATGTATGTATTATATGATTATATTATGAGAACATGATTTCAGAGATGTAATAACATATATATATATGTATAAAAGAAGGGTAATGTTTGATTCAGTTAAATGTTTATATATATATATATATTTGTCTATTAATATTAGCTTTGATTTACTTGAAAATATTTAATATATAGGGGTCCTGGAGTTACCATAATGGTATTGTCGTGGATTATTACACTATACACATTATGGCAGATGGTGGAATTACACGAAACAGTGCCAGGGAAGAGATTTGACCGATATCATGAGTTGGGTCAGCACGCTTTTGGCGAAAAGCTTGGGCTGTGGATCGTAGTGCCTTTGCAGCTGTCGTGTGAAGTTGGTCTCGGCATCATTTACATGGTTACCGGAGGGAAGTCATTAAAGAAGATTTATGACACATGTTGTCATGATTGCATAGACATTAGAACAACGTATTTTATTATGATGTTCGCAGTTATTCACTTTATTATCTCGCATCTTCCCAGCTTTAATTCGATCACTCTTGTCTCCTTTTTGGCCGCTTTGATGTCACTCGGGTAAGATTTTGCAACACATATAGGGTATTTTGTTCCATTTACATTCATCATTTAAATTTTTTTCCTGATTTTGTTGGCTTAACCAGTTACTCGACAATTGCATGGGGAGCTTCACTTCATAAAGGAGTTCAGCCGACTGTGAGTTATGCTCCAAGGTCCACTTCAACTAAGGACATAACATTTGATTTCTTTGGTGGATTGGGAGATGTAGCCTTTGCCTTTGCCGGTCACAATGTGGTGTTGGAGATACAAGCAACTATCCCATCGACTCCGGGAAAACCATCGAAAAAACCGATGTGGAAAGGGGTGGTTGTGGCTTATATTATAGTTGCATTGTGTTATTTTCCGGTTGCCTTCTGCGGTTACATGGTGTTCGGAAACCTGGTCGAGGACAACGTCCTCCTTTCATTAGAAAAACCGGCTGGTCTCATTGTTGCTGCCAATGCTTTCGTTGTTGTTCATGTCATTGGAAGTTATCAAGTAATTTTCTTTAGCCTCTTGGATAGCATTCAACTGTGTTAATTCATTCATATTCTAATACTTAAATTGAATTGCAGGTTTTTTCAATGCCTGTTTTTGACATGATTGAATCATTTTTAGTTAAGAAAATGAAATTCAAGCCAAGTCTAATGCTTCGATTCATTTCACGAAATGTATATGTGGGTGAGTATATATATATATCTCAATTCAAAATATCATTTCTTAGATATAATTTTAGCATTCTAACTCTGTTCCTTTTTATACCAGCATTCACAATGTTTGTGGGAATAACATTCCCTTTCTTTGGTGGGTTGATGAGTTTCTTCGGAGGATATTGTTTTGCCCCCACATCATATTATGTAAGTATTCTTCACGTTTGGGTGTCTTGTTTTTACTGTTATACTATTTTCATCTAAATTATTTGTTTTTGTTAATCAAATTGCAGATTCCTTGCATCATATGGCTTATACTTCGTAAACCAAACAGATTCAGCTTGTCATGGTTCATAAACTACGTATGTACTTTATCATTTGTTGAATTTAACATTTATTTTCGAATCAAATTAATCAACACTTTCATCCCTTTCTGCAGATATGCATTACGGTGGGGGTGCTTTTGACAATCTTTGGACCAATAGGAGGACTGGTCTCTCTTATTCACTCAGCCAGCACATTTAAATTTTTCTCCTGATTATAATTTTATCATGTTAGGCAGCTTTGTTTAGATTTTTTAATAAGATTTTATTTTCTAAACTTGTAATTTTTTTAAAAGATTAGTTGTGGACAGAAAATTTGGCAATATATATCATATATAGGTTTTTTTAATTGTTTGATTTTAAGTGCTTTGTGCCAATGTTTAGTTCATACCCTCCATTTGTTTCTCTTTAAATTGTTTTCATATAAATTTAAACACATTGTCGGCTCCCCAAATAATCGTGTGAGTAGATGGTTACGCCAACAAATTCAACTAAGAAAAGCTAACGGATGAATGAATATAGATGGAACAAAATATGTGATGTTAAATATTCATAAACTTTTCTTTCATTCTTTTAAATAATATCTAACAATTACCTAAATATTTATAATTAGAATAAAATTAATAATTATGTTTAAAAATATTCATAAAAGATTTAAATATTTATAAGGCTTAATATAAAAAACAAGTGACCAAACTATGCTTTTTTTCCCATTTTGGTGTCTAAATTGTTTTTCAATCAATCCAAGGACCTAACGTTTCTAATGTTACACTTTTAGGCGCTTAGACAATCACGACGATTAAATTTCACCGTTAAATGATGGGTGTTGCTTTTATAAAATTTTAAAAAATTTATATAAGTTAAAAATGTTAAAATTATAATTTTTTTATGAAAAAAAAACAAATTTATAAAACTGCAAAGAAAAAACCCAAAATCTTTTAAAACCCAAACTTCAATCCATTTACCTCCATCGACCGCCACTAACACCGTTAATCGACCGAACACCCAACGGCGGTGAAAATTAAGACTTTGCGATTGATTATTTTTACCACAATTGCCAATTTTTGCTGCAATTAGATATTAGAGTAGGGGGTTTTGGTCGTTGGATGTTCGATCGGTTACATGCCATTGAAATTTTGGTTGGTTATTAGCGGTCGGCGGTGGGAAAGGTGTTGAAATGTGGGTTTGAATACTTATTTTTATATTAAATCTATTTATAATGCTTAATATTATATCTAGAATTTTTTACAAAATAATCTAGATACTTATAAAATTAATATAACTAAGATATGAATATGTGTCAACAATCTAACAGTCATTCAATTCTATAAATAAGGGTGAGAGTTTTCATTATGTGTGTGAAAAAAGTGTGCAGGGGTGAATTATAGAGAAAATAACCTCAGTGACCGAAAATGCCTTATAATATACGATTTTAACCAACTTTTTTTGGATTTGTCAAAATGACCGACAAATTCGCAACGCAATTTTAAGATTCGCAACGCGATACTCCAAAATCGCAACCACGACCACGACGGGACGGGACGACGGCGGCGGTGCGCAAGAGTCCCCCTTGTTCTCTTTCACTCAACAAGGAAGTGGGAAATCCAAGCCTTAAATACCCATTCCCAATAGTGTTTCCAATACTATGTGGGATTGAGTATTACCAACATTTGTTTCCAATACTATGTGGGATTGAGTATTACAACACTTGTTTCCAATGCTAAGTTGAAACATTTAACATTTAACATTTGGAAATTGGAACACATTTAACCAAGTGAACATCCTTTCAGTGGCCAAGATAATTAAGTTGGAACACATTTAATCAATGCTTGAGAAGGTAATGTACTTGGAGAAAGTTGGGTTAAGAGAAGATAAAAGAGATGATGTGAAGCAAGAGTAAGCACTTCGTCGTGTTCCCCCGACGATGTCGCCATCACACCATGTAACCAACACAAAAGACATTTGATTAAGCCCAATGTCACTACAACAAAATTGTTCTACAGCGGCGTTTTTAGCAGCATTTTGGTAGTAAACGTCACTAATTTTAAACACATAGCGGCGTTTACATAGAAAACGCCACAAAATGGTAACTTTAGCAGCGTTTTTATAAAAACGCCGTAATAGGTTCATCGATAGTGGCGTTTTTATACAAATACCGCTATAGACTTGTACTTTAGTGGCGTTTTTATACACAATGTCGTTATACACTTGTACTATAGTGGCGTTTTTATATAAACGCCGCTAAAGACTCGTACTTTAGTGGCATTTTAGTACAAACGCCGCTATACACTCGTACTTTAGTGGCGTTTTTATTCAAACGTCGCTATACACTCGTACAAATTTTAAGTGTCGTTTTAACATTTTTTTCATTTTTCCCTTTCACGTATTTTTCAATCTCGCCGTTTACCCAAACCCATCTTCTTCACTACCAAACCCCAAACCCATCTATTTCACTATCATTTTTATGTTATCTCTGATTTTGATTCCCTTATCCACATTTTTAGAAGAACTCATCGCTGGAATTGAAGAGCAAATAATCAGAGGTTGAACTACCGAGATCCAAATGATGGATCTGAACCTGAATCAACAAGAATCGGGTTGGGAGGAATTGAGGAAAGAAGCTCGAAAGATCGAAGGCGATCTTGATGTCAAACTATCTTCTTATGCTAAACTCGGTGCTAGGTTCAACCCAGGAGGGTTGCTCATTTTCCTCCTTTTTATTGTTATTTTCTGGAATGTATGTTGCTTTTCCCGGTAGATTATTGAAATTAGGAACAAATTTGTTGAAGAACTGAACATATTCTAAAAGTTGAATAAATAAGATTTGTTTAATGGGAATTTTTTTTCCTGTTTTAGGAATCCAAAGCCTTAGGAATCTAGTGCTCTTTCGTTTTCTTCTTCTTCTTTGTGATAATATTTGCTTACATTTAGATTATGTAGATACTGGGTCGCCACCGGCCGGGTCAAGTAGATCATGGAAGTCTATGGAAATTGAAATTCAATCATTGCTTGAGAAACTGGTGGACTGATGGTATGAGTAGATGTGTTGCATCTTCTGCACCGACTACTTCGGTAACCCAGAAACTTGCAAGACATAGAGACATACTACATGAGTTTACTCAGGTTTAATCCGCTGACTCTGTTTACTACACTTGTTTACTCAGGATTATGCTTATCGTAACTAATTTTTGCTAAATTTGTTGTCGTTTGCCTATGATTGGAAAGTTAAGAAATCACTTATATGTTACTGGGTGATGGTGTCGTGAACTGTGAAATTGAGATGCTTTCTTACATTTTAGCCGAGTGAATAAAATTGTCGTTGAAAATTTTATGATGTCTATAGAATTGGGGTTTATTGAAGTAATGATTACTTTGAAATCCAAGGTCCACAAATTTAACATTAAAGCAATTGATATTTCAATTTCTTTAATTCTTTACAAGTAGTGCATTTGCAGGCTCAGTTCCTGAAATTCTATTCAAAATTAGATTTATCACAGGTAAAGTGCCTACAATTTAGGTTCAAGTTTGGACGCATAATTGTCAAGTGATCCATCTAACTAAAGGGTCTTAATCTTCATGTAGAACTAATTAATATGGAATTGTTCCTTAATATCATTTTATAAAGTGTATTCATGTTGAACTCTCTCTTGCTTACTCATCATTCAATTGTGACTGGAGTGGTACATCATAATTCTCTGAGCTCGGAGTTTTATAAAGTTTTGAAACCATGAAGCTACTTTTCTTTTGTAGGGACAAGCTCTGGCATGCTTATATAATGTTTTTCTGGTTCATTTTGACAGTCCTTACTAGGGTATATGTACCTTCATTTGGACTAGAATATAAATCTCCCATTCTATTTATAAATTTTTTATTTCAAACTACCAATTTAAGAGTTCATGGTAAGCAAATACTAAAAAGAGATTTTTTTTTTGTTTATAGCAAAACAACTTCATGGTGAAGTGTTCTAATAAGATGATCAATTCAAACTTTAAACCCGTGGCCAATAAACATGCTAGTAACAAATGCAGGTAAGTCCTTGAATATATTATTCTTTTTATTTTTTATTTTTGTTTGTATTATACAGAATGTGTTGAGTTAATCGATCGATGGAATCGACCAAGACGGGGGTGAATTGGCAATTAAAAATTTCGTGGAAGCTTTTGCAGAAAAATTGAAAGTAATTGCACAGCGATTTACAGTGGTTCGACTTTCTCAAACAAAGTCTACGTCCACTACCTTAGCTATCCACACTAAGGATTTTCCAACAAATTCACTAATTTGTTCTTTCTTTTGAGGCCAAAGAGATAACCTTACAAAATCCCTCAAGAGTATACCCCAACTCTTGAGAACACTCTTTTTCCCAAAGAGAAGATTACAAATTTGCAAACTTACAAGAAAACCTCACAAGGTAAGATGTTTGCACAATTCTAGAACAAGAAAAGAACACTCAAAGATAATTACAAATGAGCACAAATGGTGTTCTTGAAAGCAAAATGAATATTGAAAGGAAAATTGGCTTGATTTGCACAAACTTGGTGTTTGATGCTTTCTCTCTTGTTTCTCTATGATTTCTTGTTGATCAAGGGCTTCAGAACTTGTTTAAATACACCTTGAATCTCTTCTGAATGTTGGGGATGATTAGTGAAGATCATATAGCCGTTTTAGTGTGAAAACAATTAATAAAACAGTTTGGAGCGTGGGGGGAATCGGTACCCCCTATGGGGAATCGGTTCCCTAAGTGTAAAATTCAAATATTTTAACCATTGAACACGGGGAAATCGGTACCCCCTATGGGGGAATCGGTTTCCTCCGAGCATTCTGGAAATCTCGGAGCCAAACCATTCAGGGGGGAATCGGTACCCCCTTGGGGGGGAATCGGTTCCCTCTAAGCAATCTGGAATTTTTGGCTTTGAAGTGGTTCGAAATACTTTGAAAGATTATTTTGAAATTGTTTTAAGATTAAAACTTAATTTTACACTTAAGTAAGGATTAAAAATGATTTTTGAAATATTTTGAGTAATGTTTTGATATTCGAATAATTATATAGAATATACTAAGAAAATCATTTTGGAAAATCTTAAAATTCATTTAACTTAATTTGTTATATCGAAATATCAAAATGTTTTCAACAATCTCCCCCTTTTTGATATAACAAAATATTTTAGTAATTTTAAGATTTTGAAATCAAGTTTTGAAATTACTCCCCCTTACTTTA